AGCTTGGGCACTTCAAGGGCAGCGTGGCAGAAGGTCCAGCCCTGCTGTGATGGGTCAGGAAGTGAGGCAGGAAGGAAAGCTGGGAAGAATCCCTGTGGGCAGGGAGGCTGGGACAGCTGGAGCAGCAGGCAGAGAGGACCAAAGGAACCAAAGCTGTTCCCTTCTGCAAAGACTCCTGGATGGAGCTGGACGAGAGGCTGGGACTGATAAACCCTGAGTGAGCAATTGTGTGGCTTTACCTGAAGTGCAGCCTGCAGAGCCCAGGGCAGAGCTTGTGTGGCCCAAAGCTGAGGTCCCTGTCAGGCAGCTCCCGTGCCAGCAGAGCCCAGGGCAGGATTTGGTGTCAGGTGCCACTGCTGAGGGCACAGGTGGAGCTGAGACTCCACAAAGCAGCCCAGCACAGCTCAGCAGGCAGTGAAGTGGAGTCCGCACAGTGGGCACTGCACACTGGTCAGGAGCAGCAGCTGGGCTGGGCTGTCCCCACTGCCAGGTGCCAGCCAGCCCAGGGCACCCCCAAAGCTGTCCCTGCTCACACAAGCTCCTGAGTGACTGATTTTCCCCTCCCACGAGGCACACTGTGCAGGGAGAGAAACAACACTGCCCCCCTCCCCTGCAGCAGCCACTGAGCCACTCCAAAACAGAGCCAGTGTCTGTGGGAAAAGGAGTCGTTTTATCACAAACTTCTGCCAAAATAAAAACAGCCCAGCTGGGATTTATCCCAAATGGTTGGAAGTTTATTGCTGGGACCAAGGGAACTGATGAACTGGTGTCAACATTCACCATCCCTTCATGCAGATTCTAGGTCTGCTTGCAGGAATTGTCCTCAACAAACAATTGTATTCAATAAACAGATGAGTGCTTTGTTTTCCAGGAGGCTGCCTGGGAATGCAGTGTTGGAGGCACAGGTCAGGTTGGGAGGACAAACATCAGCCCCGGGTCTGTCCCTCCCTGCAGGCCCCTCCCTTGTGTGCCCCTGTCCCTCCTGGGGACCCAGTGCTGTGTCTCTGCTCCACATGTGCCCACACTGGGCACCCCATCACTGGCTGTCCCTGCTGCATTCCCACATTTCCCCCCTCCAAATTCATGTTTTCACCTCTCTGGGCACTATTGGCATCACAGAGCTGATGTAGCTCAGAAGAACATTCCTCTTTGGTGGCCTTGAAGGCTGCTGGCCGTGGAAAGCAGCAGGGAATGGGCTTCCCATGGATCTGCACTCTGGCTGCAGCAGTGGCAGGGATGGGGGCTGGCTTTGGGCTGGGAGGCAGCTTCAGCTCTGTGCCCAGCCTGGGGGAGCCACACTGGGCTCCCACAGATGTGCTGGAGACAGGCAGGTGCAGAGCTGCTGCCTGAATCGGTGCCAGTCAGCAAACACCAGCAGCTGGCACAGCTCAGCACCTCGCAGAGCTGCTCCTTTGGGGCTGCTGGGATCCCCCAGCCCAGCAGCTTCACTGACCCATGCTCTGGATAAAACCAGTGCCACCCCTCCAGCCTGGTGAGCCCTCACAGGGCACGGCTGGCACAGGGCTCCCGTGTGCCCGGGGGAGCCGTGCCCGTGCTGGGCCTGTCCCTGCCTTCCAAACATCCCTCCCAGAGCCTGGACTGCCACCGGGACCAGGGCACCGGGACACGGCCCTGCCCCTGGGGGAGCACTCTGGCTCCCAGGGCCTGCTCTCCTGGCTCCAGGGGCTCTCCAGCTGCCAGCCTCAGCTGCACGGCTGCTGCATCACCACCTGCAGTCTTGTCCACATTTCCTCCTGCCCTCTTACTCCACTGCAGAAATTCTGAGGAGCATGTTCAGCTGCATTTTTCACCCCCTCCATCTGAGGAGTTCCTTCAGGAAGGGTCCTGTGGCAGTGGCACTACCCAAAGTGCAGGGCCCAGGTTTTTCCTGCATGACTTAAACTGGGAGCAGGCACACTTAAAATAGCAACAGACAGCGATGTTCCCAGGCAGGAGCTGCATCCCTGGCAGCTGGCAGGCTCTGCCACCCCCTTGGCCCTGGCACAGGAAAACACCTCACCCCGAGCAGATTTGCACTAAAAACCAAAGTATAGCAGCACAAACTGGTTCCTTTTTTTGTTGTTTCCACTTTATAGTATATATGTTATCGTTTATTTATAGGCAGATCACTTCACTATTTACAGTACATGAGCGTAGAGATTCTACAGTCTTTTTGATGTAAACAAGAAACTCCACGGCAGGGGAGTCTGGAAAAAGAAGCCAGTTCTGAAGTATTTACACAATTTAAAATAGAACTTTTATACCCACTGGATAGATATAGAGAATACATTGAGCGATTTGGTTAAATTATCTATGAAACTATAGAATCTGACAATGTAAAAATACAAGAAAACGTTCTCTCATTTTAGAAGGTAGACAGTTAAATCACACTAGAAATAAATCTCTTTTCTTTTTTTAAAAATAATAACAATAATAATAAAGGAAAGGCATAAGAATCCATGCCATCTCTTAAGGTTAAAGTATATTACATAAATAAGGACACAACAGAACGGAACTGGGGGAAAAATTAAGTGAAATATAAAAAAACCGCTACCAATTAAAAAAAAATACTAAAAACTTGATTCTTAATCATAGAGGGATCAATTCTGCTTTTACTTACTCTGCAAGCAGAAAATTGCAGAGTTAAGTAGTACTTACTGAGCATGAGCAACAGAGGCAGAATTGGCCCCTAATAATTATGACCAGTGTCCTTTTACATTAAAAAAAAAAAAAAAGAAGAAAAACACAGAATTTAGCTTTTTTATATAAATAACAAAGCAGATGTGCCCCTTTTTAGGTGAAATTCTTACACCTTTCTGAAGAAATGCATCAATTGAACGGTTCTCTCTTTCTCACATGCACTCACACATTCCCTCCCCAGCTCCTGCTGCTGCCCCTGGCCCCAGGGAGGGCGAGGGAAGAGGAATGAAACCCCAAAATGAAACCCCAAGGCTGCATTTGGCTCTGTATTGCTTGAGATTGTCAGGGATGGACTTAGAACAGAACAGGTGTTGAGTTCAGCTCCAACACCAGTACCTCAGGACTCAGCAGACCTCCAGAAAGAAAAAAGAATCCCCAAAAAAGGGAGAAAACCGTGTTGATCTGCAATTGCAAAACTGATTTGCACGGCGCAGAGCTGAGACCAGACCCAGGACTGCAACAAGGTGACTGAGCTGCTGCTTCCTGAAAGATGTGCTGAGGAAATGAGAGAAACCTTTGCTTTGGGGCAGCATCCAACCTAAAACCTGGGATTGTCCTCTGCATTCAGCCCACACACTCAGAAACGTTTGCTCCTCCCTGCGGAGCCTCAGGGACACGCTGGATTCCAGCCAGAAACCTGCTGCCCCCCCTGAACAACGAGTTTTTCTGGGGCAAACCTGTGCAAAACAAGCAAAGGGGCATTTTATCAGAAACTCTTCACACATTCAGCATTTGCCCACAGCACCTGCAGGAAACGGCCGGGGGGCGTTCTATACTCACACAGCTTTAAAAAAATAAATCTCCTCCTGATTTATTGCCTACCAGAATAAACCCTTTCGCTCCCAGTTTCTCCTGCCCATCCCCAGCCCTCGCAGGGGGCTGGGGTGTGAGGGTCCCACAGGCTGGGTGGGATGGGAAGGCAATCCTTGGGAAAGGGGGGATCCCCAGTCCCTGGCAGCTCCTGCAAAGCTCTGGGCACCTCTGGCTTCCCTGGCAGCAGTGCCTGGGCATTGCTTTGCTCCTGCCCCATTTCCCTGTCAGCATCCGAACCTTAGGCAGCTCAGGAGGGAGCTCTCACCTGCCCCTGTGCCCGACCCACCTTCTGCAGACTCGAGCACTGTGAGCTAAAGACACCTTTAGAGTAAAAAAAAAAAAAAAAAACAACAAAAAACCCCACAAAATTAAAAAAAAAAAATCAAGTGGAAATTTATTTTTCACCCCGTCCTAAGAGGTGGGGGAAGCCCCAGGGCAGGCAGCACACAGCCCAAGGGGCTCTAAGCATAGTGCATAAGTCTGGAAAGGAAAGATTTTTTTGGGGAGGAAGGAAAACAAACCATCCCAAGTGAATGAAAAAAAGTAAAAACCCAAAAAAAAAAAAAAAAAAAAAAAAAAAAAGAAAACCCAACCCCACTTATAGGCTTCAGGCACCACAAAGACCACTTATTGCATCTCTTCCTACCCTAGGGCTGCAGTACTGATGAGCTCTGTGCAGGACAGCCCTTCCCTTCCCCAGCACCAGCCTCAGGACCCAGCAGCTGGGCTGGGGCTGACCCAGGGCACCCAGCCACAGGAAAACACTGGGAAATGCTGGGGCTGGGGCTGCCAAAACCAGTGCTTGGGAAGTGACTGAGCGATCCCCTGGCGTGGGCTGGAGCCCCCCCAGCTCTGCACTAACCCTTCCCCTCCACCACCCTTGATGCATCCCCAGCGGGGCCCAGCCACGGGTGCCCCCAGCTGAGTGGGAGATGGAAGAATTCCACTTATTTGCTTTTCTTTTTTTCTTTCTTTCTTTTTTTCTTTTTTTTTTTTTTGTTGGTTTTTTTTCTTTTGGGTTGATCGTTTTCTGAAAAACATCAGCACAGCACAGGACAGTACTACCCACCCTAAATGTGTCGCTATATACATTCTACATAAGCTCTATAGCAATCACATGTAAACATCATCATCGTGAGGAAATACTAGGACAGAAAAAGGCAAAGCTACAATGAGGCAATTGCCAATAGCAGATGCTCAGTCTCGGCCAGAGCTGCTCGTGGTCGCTAAGGTGGGATGAGAACGGGGGATTTGGGGGTGGGAGAGGCGCCAGATTTCACTGCTGAGGCTGGAATGGCACGAGGGCTGTTCCCTGGCAGCGATGGTCACCGGTGGCAGCGTGGGGACCCCGCGGTGGCCCCGGGCCCTGGCGCTGCCGGGCTGGTGTTGTCAGAACCACGGCTCTCCCGAGGGAACAGCCAGGGAACTGTGCTGGTGTCGGCGCTGCCGGCATTCCTGCTCTGCCAGAGCCCAGCTGCGCTCCAGGGCCCACCCTGGCACGGCTCCGGCTCCCGGCCTCGCATCCTGTGCCACTTCCCAGGCTTTGGTCGCTCTCCCTGCAGGACGGAACATGCCCAGGGAACCAGGGGGGAAACCCCCAGGTCGTGGGGAGGGGAGACCCCAGGAGACTCTAATCTATCTATTGGCAGAGTTAAGGCTATAATATTCTATCTACAGAGGATGGCTGAATCCCTAGTGGTCTCTGGGGCTCAAAAATAAAAGGAGAAGGTGGTGATGGCTTGAGGAGCGGCAAGGTTCCCGCTGCCTTGGGAAAACAGCGCCTCTGGCCGGCTGGTGGTGGGCTTTGCTCCGGCTGGTGGGGGCTGCGTCCCCTTCCCACCACACCCACACGTGGAGGGCAAGTCCACAAGTTCATTCTACACTTCAATCCAGCGCCGAGTGCCCTTGGCCAGAGGCAGAGCCGTGCCCCGGGGCGCTGGACGGATCCGGGGTGCGGGTGGGTGCTGGGACGTGTATGGCTTATCAGCTACGGGGCAGGGGGTGGGGGTGTCAGTGTGGGTGCTCAGTGTGGGTGCTGTGCCCGCCCCACCTCTCTGCACTTGGGGCTGGCCTTACTTTGGGCTGGGCTTTGGGCTGGGTTTGGGGCTGGCTGCCCAGTGGGAAGCACACACAGGTCTTCTCGCCCCGCTTGCTTTGCAGGGTGTGGAAGCGAGTGCGGATCAAGCCACAGGGCCTGGCCAGTCTCACAGCCATCCAAGGAGCTGGAGAGGAGCCAGCTCCTCCACATGGCCCGGAGACATCCATGCCCCAGGCTGTGCCAGCAGGACCCATGTGCCCAGCTGGCTGCAGCCCCCAGCCCCTCTCTCCTGGCTCCAAAGGCAGCGGAGGCCGGAGCAGTGCTGGCTGCAGGCACGGCATCCCTCTCCCGGCCTCTGCAGCCTGCAAAGCTGCATCCATCACCCACCAGCACCCAGCTCAGCATGGGGGTGATGCTGGGGGCTCGGGCCACGCCAGCACGAAGAATGGCTTTGACAGCAAAGTGGGTGACCCCGGGCAAGCACCGAGCACCCCGGTTTGCCAGCAGGGGAGGCAGGGGAATGTCAGCTCTGTGACTGCTCTGACCCCCCATTTGCTGAGTGGCAAGTGCCTCATTACAGTGCATAGTTAAAAATCAAGGAAGCGGTACAATAAATCTGAATTACAGTACATCTGAGCCATAAATACATTTTTTTAAGTATATACTTTTTTTTTTTTCTTCTCTTCTTCTATTAAAAATTAGTTTATAATCCTGATTCTATTCACAATGAACAATTTCATCATCACACACTACGGACAAAAAAATGTTATGGTGAACACAGCTGCAACTCCACGGCGGGAGCATGGGGAGGGCTGGGAGGGGGAAGAGGGGCCGGGGGGCTCCTAGGCTCACCCTAAAACAACCAGTCAGAAGCAGAGGGGGGACTAACGTGTGGCAGTGAGACATCAACACCATGGGGACTCACAGACAGAAGCAGCTTTGTTCAATGTAAACATCGATCAGGGGACAGCAGTCTCTCTCTCGCGGGCGTGCTCTCGCTCTCTCTCTCGCTCTCTCGCTTGCCATAGACTGAATAATTTCTTTGAAAACGTAAACATATTGGAAGTGCCTTGACTGAGGTATTGAGGTATTCCTCCAAGGTTAAGGCTGTTACCGATGCAGGCTGAGCTGGGCCTCCTGCAGCAAGCTGTCGAAATCCATGGTCTCGTACTTGCTTTTCACCGGAGCTGGGGACGACTCGTCCGTGCCGCAATCTGGGGATGGCAGGGACAGAGGACAGCCGGGTCAGGGAGGGGGATCAGCGTCCTGTCTGCCTCGTGGGGAGGGAAACTGAGGCACAGCAAGGCGCTGCTCACTGCCCTGCCACTGCACAGCCAGGCTGGGCACAGCGGTGATGGTGACAGTGAGAAGAGAGGGGGTGCAGCCAGGCCCAGCTGGGCAGGGCACGCACCACTGGCATTCACTGCCAGGGTGAAAAAATCTTCTGGGTGCAGCTGAATCTGGAGGGGCTGACACAGGGTCATCCCATGGGAGCTGCGCTGGTGGCAGAGCCTGCCTGCTCCACTGCCAGCCCTGTGCCAGAAGCTGAACACAGAGTGCCCCAGGAAAGCCCAGGGAAAATTCAGCACACAGCAGAACTAAGGCTGCCGAATTTCACAGCAGCTTAACATTCTGGGTGTGTATTTTTGAATGGTGTGGTTGCATTTCACCTCTGCCTGGGGGCTCCCCTTCTCACCCTGTAGCAGGATGAGCAGGATTTTAGGGATGAGCTGGGCTGTGCAGGAAGGGGGTGACTGATGGCTCTGCAGAAGTCAGGTGAGGAGCACTCAGGGGGCTTCTCTTAGGCAGGGGGACAGCTCTGGCCCCCCTCCCCACAGCACTGCACGGTCACCATCTTCCTCACAGGGTGCTATCTGGTTCCTAATTTCTCTGTGTCCAAAATGGGAGGCTCTGGGGTTTATTTAGGTGAACACTGGACATTTGTGCCCACGATCAAAGTCAAGGGATGGCTGCTCTAAGCAGAGCAGATACTGCAAGGTGATAAAAAAATCAGGGAGTACTTGAATCAGATGGGGCATCTGGAGGTAAGTCAAGACTTGGGGCTTTATTTTCTGGACTTCAGTCTTTCACTCATCAAGTGATATCCAGAACCCTTCAGCCTCTGCAGAGGGTACAGAAATAAACATGCAGTGTTGGTGAAACACCTGAAGCAAGGAGGGCTGGGCAAAGCCCGGGACACATTTCTCTTGCACGACTAGCACAGGGTTTGGCTCCTGGCCCTCAGCTCAGGCTGCAGCCCTGGTGACACAGTCACTGAGACCTTGCTGAAGCACTGAAAGGATTAATGCGAGCACAGCACATTTCAGTGCTGTCACTTTGGCTCCAGAGTGCATGTGCAGCCTGGTGAATCTGTCCTGCAGAGCAGCAAACCACCCACATCACCTCTTGGGCTAATGAAATGTTGCTGACTGCCTTCTCTAATGCCTGGGAAGGGAGTTTTCTGCTGGAAAGCCTCCAGCACTGTGCAGAAACTCAGCAAACACAGGATGGGCTGCGCTCAGCTGAGACTCAGCACCCCGGGCTGTGATGCTACATTCTGCAGCCAGCACACCCTGAGGCCTCACACCAGTTTCTTTCCTTCTCCCCAGTTCCCCAATCCACCTGTCCCATGAGCCATAGGAAAGGCAGTGGGCTTCTCCTGCAGGCTCTGCAGGCTTTGGGGATCCCTGCGTGACCAGGGCTCAGCACTGTGCTCTAACAGCTCTGTGCTGATAAAAGAGACAAAGCAGCTGCTGCTTCCTCACCCAGGTCAGCGTATCTGGTCCAGAAGAAGCGCCCCAGGCCACCAGAGCTGAGCTGGAAGGAGGGCTCGTTCCTCTTCCTCAGCGAGGGGCCGTTCTTCAGCGATAAGGCGGCGTGCTCGGAGTAGCGGTACGTGATGAAGCCGTACTTCTCCCCCCTGAGCAACCAGAGAGAGAATTCAGGATGTGATGAGCCCCACAGCCCTTGTGATGCAGCACTGCACCCCTGGCCCATCATTCTTCCACTCCTGCATCCCACAGATGCCCTTGGAGCTCTGGGCACACTGAATCTCCTTGACAAAAGCACCGAGACCGAGGGCTCGGCTGACCCAGGGGATTGATGTGGCACCGCCTGGCAGTGCTGTGGGGTTTGAGGAGAGGAGCTGTCTGTAGCTGCTGGAGCCCTGAGCCACAGCTCACTGCCCACCCACCTGTTAGTCCTGGTCAGGACCTGACACTCCACGATTTCACCAAACACCTCGAAGCGTTTCTTCAGCTCGCTGGAGCTCATGCTGCTGGAGAGGTTTCTGATGTACACCACCCGGCCTTCTCCCTGCCAAAGCAACCAAAAGCTTTCAGGCTTGGACCCTGCACCTCTGTGCTGCTGATGGGCTGTGGAGGAGCCCCTGCAGCCAGCACTGGGACACACTGCCATGGACACAGCCTGACATCTCCAGGATGTGGAGCCAGGTCACAGTGTCACCCCCAGGACAGCCATAACCAGGCTGGAGCAGCCACTGCCCCCTTTTTTCTTTTATATTCTCCTTCATTCTTGCAACTTCTCCCGGCAAATGTGGGATATAGTCCCAAGAATTGCCAGGGGCAAAATCCAATTGCATTGCGGGAAGAAGTGAGGTGAAGAAGAGGCGCACGAGAATGCAGTGGGGCCATATCTGTGCCATCAGGGATTCCCCAGTTCACCCCACAAACTGCCAGTGCCAAGTGCACTGAGGCACCAGCGTAGGAGGCTCTGGGCATCCCTGTGCCAAGGACTCCGTGTGTTGCCAATCGCTGGCGGCTCCTGCTGCACGTTGGGTTTTCCTCCCCCCACCAGCCCCTGTCCTTGTCTAACACTGGCCTCGCACCAAGGGATGCTGAAGCCAGGGCTAATGGGCTCCGCTGCTGCTTTTGGGAGCAGGAGATGAGCCGAGGGCTGGCCTTGCTGTGTCCCCGTGGGGTCCCCCCTCACTTACGATGGCCTTTTCCCGTCTCTTCTTCAGCTGGCCCCGCTGCCCGCTGCTGCCCTGACACTGCTCGCCGTTCTCACACCTGCAGGGAGGGACAGGAGCTCAGCCCGGGGCTGGGGGAGCTGCTGGGAAAGCTTCAAACATCAGTGAGAAGCTGAGACACCCACAGGACTGGGTGGGCACTTGGGGACACTGGGAGTCAAGGAGAGACTGGGATCTGGACCCATTGAAAAGGACAGTGCAAAGTTTTTTCTCATAAATGCCAGGGCAGCCAGCACCTGCCCCTTCCCAGGCCTGGGTCCTGCCCATGCCCTGCCACCCATGGAACCCCCTGGCTGCTTCAGTCCTCCACTGCTTCCTCAGGCCATGGCTGACACTTGCAGCAGTGGCTGATGCAGTACCAATTATTTTCATCGTTTTTCTTTCATTAATTAGCATCTTTACTACTTGTGCCAGCGGAGCAGAGAGCACTGGGGGCGCCCTGCACCACACTGAAAACTCAGGGGACACAACCAGTGCCAATGTCCCCGTGTGCCCGTACCTGAAGGTGCGTCTGCTGGCAGGTGACCGCGACCGGCAGCACGAGGAGCCCGAGCTGGACCTGCTCCGGGAGCAGTAATGCAAACTGCCCCTGGAAAGGGCGCTTCTCCTCAGGCACAGCTCGGTGTCGCCGTGCTCCTCCTCCTCCTCCTCCTCTTCCTCCTCATCCTCCTCCACGGGGGAGCCGCTCTCGCTGCAGCTGTCCTCAAAGACGGTGTCGTACTCGGGGGTCTTGCAGAAGACCATGTCCTCGTCGTCGAGGGCACTGTCCAGAAAGCCAAAGTGCTTTGTTAAGCTGGCTCTGATCTCCTGGTCTCTCAGCTGCTTGACGCCGTCCTTCCAGAGCATCTCGGCGCCCGTGTCCTTGCCGAGCTCCAGCCCCTGGTAGTGGGCGGCTGGGACCCTCCTCTTGTGCTCCGTCTCCAGCTGGCTCGGGGGCTCCCACGACTTGAGCACCTTCCTCTGCAGGGCAGGCTCGGGTTTCAGCACCTGGCAGTAGTCGTGGTCCCCGAAGGAGCGGGAGAAGGGCCGCTTGAGCACGCCCTGCTGCTCGGGCAGCGCCCGCGCCCGGCTCAGGTGGGCGAACAGCTCCGTCCTCTCCGGGTGCTTCCTGGGCGCTTTCCGCGAGGCTGCCGCGTCCCCGGGGCTGGGGGCCGTCCCCTCCTCCTTCCCGGCCTCCTGGGGGATGTCTGGCTTGTACAGGTCCTCCTCGGCGGGTTTGTATGGCGGAGTGGTGGGCGGTGTGAGACCTGGAGCCCCAAACAAAGGGCAGGAGTCAGCTCTGCCCTCCCTGGCCTGCCCTGCCCCACCCCAGTCCTGGCTGCCCCCACAGCCTCATCCAGTGGCCCCTGGGGGAACAGGAAGGATGCCCTGATCCCAGCGGGGAGCAGAGGACTCTCCCTTCCCTCCTGGCTCATGCAGGGCCCCCCTGAACATCTCCTCCCACCCCAAAGGCATTCCCCTGAGCTGCTCCTGGTGCTCGGATGCGGCAGGGCACAGCAGGCTCCTGTGTCTGCACTGTGAAGGGGATGAAGGTGCCCCCTTGGCTGGGTAGGCTGGAATGATGGCTCCAGTCTGAATTTAGGGTGAATGAGCTCTCTCCTAGAGTACATTTTTACAAAACTAAAGAATTCAAAGCATGTCCTACCTGCTGTCCCACACAGCTCCACAGTCAGCATTGGCTCAAAGTTTCTCTTCCCAAAGGTTGGGTCACTGGAGAAGAGCAGAAAACCAGGAAAGTGTTTAGGTGAACACAGTCCCAAAACCCAAAAGCAAGCTGAGAAAAGCCTTCCCACAAGCGAACCCTCCCACTTTGGCTGGTGCCTGACAGAGCAACCCCACAAGGGCAGTGGGGTGAGCAGCTCCAGGGCACACACAAAATGCCCTGCCCTGGGCATGGGACTCTCCCAGCTCCTCGCACCCTGTGCTCTGCAAACACAGCTCCCTGCGCTGCCTGCAGGGGCCCTGCCCAGCCACACAACCCCAGGCAGTTCCCAGCCCCAGAACGGTTCATCCAGCCCCACCTGCACTTACGTTTGTGCCAAGGACAGCGTGAGACACCTGGGTGTTTCTGAAAGGCAGGAGAGAAGCAGGTTACCAGTGGGGCTGTACCCCTGCAGTGCCCACTGAGGGCTTTGCCCACCTGAGAGGGACTGGCAGGGCTGAGCCACTCCTGCACTTGCAACTTGCTGGGGTTTTGGGGCACCACTGCTGCTGAACCCCAGAGCCCAAACCCAGGGAAAAGCCTGGAGGGATGGGGCAACCTGGTCCTTGCTGGGTTATGGTCACACCAACTCCTCCACCTCATTTTAACCGTGGAGAAACTGAGGCAGAAGATGCCCATGGATTGAAAAAGCACCCCAAAAGAGAACAGACCCCCAGCTCGCCATGCATGGGACCCCACAGCCAGGCAGCACGGGGGGCTGCTCACAGCTCTCCTGCCAGCTGAGTGCCCAGCACCCGGGCAGCATCACTGGCCCACGGCAGGGATGGCACGGGCAGCACGGGCACACCGAGCAGAGAGACAGCGGCCAGGCCCCTCACCTGTCTGCTCCAGGAGGGCACAGCGGCGGCTCTCCGCGGCCACCTCTCCATCCCCCAGGGAGCCCAGGCAGAGGGGCTGGGGCTCTGCCGACGGGGCCGTGCCCCCCACCTCCACTTCGGCCGCCGGCTCCTCGGCAGAGAACCCCTCCAGCAGCGGGCACGGCGCGGCCTCCCTGCAGCCCAGGGGCACGGAGGGCTCGGCGTGGGGCTCCTCGAGGAAGGAGAGCCAGTGCCCGAGCTCGGGGTTGAGTCTCTTGGAGCGGCGCACGGCGTACACAGCGCTGTCCTGCTTGCGGGGCGCCTTCCCCTCCTGCCTCCCGGCATCGTCCTCGAGGGCCCCCAGCTCCCGCGGCGCCTCCGCCTCGGGGCTCTGCCGGGGCTCGCCCCTCTCTGCCACTGCTGCTCTGGCTCTGGGCGTGCAAGTCCCGCCGGCATCCTCCCCGTCGGGCGGCACGGGGGAGCAGGAGCCGGGCGGCCGCGCCAGGGCGGCGTACACGGGCTTGCCCAGGCGGTACGGCTTGCTCACATCGCACAGCAGGTCCCGCGCCAGCAGCTCCTTCAGGATGGAGAAGGACGCCCCGGGCTTCTTGCAGCTGCCAGCCGCCTGCCAGGCGCAGCCCGGCCGGCCCTGCCCGGGGGCACAGTCCGGTTTGGCTCTCTTGTAGGGGCTGCCGCAGGGCTGGGGCCGGCCCTCGGCGGGGTCGCGGGCGGGCAGCTTGCGGGGCGGCAGGCAGTAGGTGTGCATGTAGCGGATCAGCTCCAGCACCGAGCGCAGCTCCCCCTCGCAGGAGAACCGGGGGCCCGGGCCCTCCTCCGCCGAGGACAGCGCGGCCGCAGAGTCCCCGGAGCTCAGCGAGTCCTCGCTGGAGTCGCTGTCGTCCTCGTGCTGGGCGCAGTCACCTGGGGACGGGTGGTGGCCGCTGCCGGGGCACTCCTCGGGCGCCTGGGGGGCTTTGGTCTGGGAGCAGGAGGTGCTGGAGGTGAGGTGCCGGTGCAGCTCCGTGCAGCTGCGGCTCTGCGCCTGCGGGACGCTCGCCCTCCTGTCCCGGGGACCCTCCACCTTCCGAGAGGAGAGAGAAGAAAGGAGAAAATCAGCCCTGAGCCCCACAGCCACTGAGAGGAGGCTGACAGAGCCCCCCACACCCACACATCCCCCAGCTGTGTCTCACCAGCACCCCAACCTTCCTGGGGTCAGCCCCCTACCCCGAGTGCTGCCCCTCGTCGTGCAGGCAGGGATGGTCCTGCTCCCCAGGAGGGATCTGCTGTTCTTCCCACACAATCTAATAGGCCAGGCCTAATGCATTGCACAATTACAATTAGCAAAGCAGGAAAATCTCTCATGGCACCTTCTGCCGGGTTTCAGATCAGCTCAAGCGTTGGGGTGGGCTCTGCAGTACGACAGGCAGAGACTCCTGGCCAAAGGCCTTGGCTTGGGCTGAGAGTCAGCAGGGAGGGGGGCAAGGGGGTGACCAGGGATAGAACAAATGGGGCTTTCAAAAAGGGGTGATCAGGGAAGTTGGGAGAGGCCAAACCCCCCTGGGTGCAAGTGAGATCAAGGTGCTCCTTAGCACAGCTCTGCTAAAGTTATGCAGAGCCCAGACTGCATCAGACAGGGATGGGAGCACTGTGGGTGACAGTCCCTGCCTGTTCCCAACACCCTGCCCAGCCCAGAGGCTGCTCACAGTCCCCAGCACCATCCTTTGGGCCATCAGGAGGTGTGTGCTGCAGGGGCTCAGGCAGTACCTTCGTGCAGGGCCGTGGGGGCCGGGACTTTGGGGTCCCCGGGCGCCGGGCGCTCCCGTCCCGCTGGGCCTCGCAGCTCGGAGGGGACGGAGACAGGAGCAGCTTCTTCAGCTGCAGAGAGAAGGGGCAAGAAAAGGAGTCGGCATCGCAGCGAGGGCAGGAGAAAACACCCCTTGGCTCATGTGTGAGCACATCCATCCCCGAGCATCCCACCCAAAAATGGGGCAAAAAAACATCAGGCAGGGAGGGTTAGGGTCAGCAGTTGCCACCCCACGTGGCTGCGGGGCAGGTGCCTGGCTGTGTCAGGGTGTCCCCACAGCATTCAGCCCAGGGATCCCAGGCAGGCTGGGGCAGTGTGCAGGAGGGAATTTGCTTCCCAGGGACAGCCCCACTCGGGTCAGACACACAGGAGCTGCGTGGCATCCCAACTTCTCACTCCATCAGCTCTGCCCTGAGGTGACAGAGGCTTTACACTGGTGTGAGTGATGGGTTTGGACAGCTCGCTGAGTCCCTGCGTGAGGCTCATTTAGCCAAAACATCCAGATAGGGCCTCGACTCATTAAGGAGCTCTCAAGGCTCTCTGGAGATGCGAATCCCTGTGGGATCTGTCAGGATCTCCCCCAGCACCGTGTCACACCATGGGCGCTGCAGCGGGGCTTTCCCCAGCTCACCCGCAGTGCCATCCCTTCTGATGGCAGGGCCAGCATGTTTTCCCTCTACTCAACCCCAATTTTGGTCAGGGGGAGGGAAAAAAAAACCCAGACCCCAAACAAACCCAGCAACAACAACTGAGATTGTGCCCGTGTGGCGCTATAACCGGAGGCGACGACAGCTCAACAGCAAGACGACTGCGTAGGCACCGGGGGCTGCAGGAGAGACAGGTCTGGGGCTTGGGGCTGATAGAAAAGGGGTGCCCGGGTCAGGGTCGGCCAGGAAATGCCAGCCGGGGCACCCGAGGCTTTAGGAGAGAGGCTCCTGCGGGTGGAAGCGCCCAGCTCCCGTTCCCCCCCGCCCCTGCAACGTATACATCCTATATATACACATACAGCTCATGTGTGATATATACCCCTGCGGGGCGGGCGCGGTGGAGATGCACGCTGTCACCACTGGATGTCACTGCTCCCCTTGGCTGGGACCGTGGGGACACCCCGGGGCCGGGCTGGGGGCTCGGGGGGTGCTGTGAGCGGCGGGCGGGGGGTCCTGTGCCAGGAACCCCCCGGGCACGGCAGGAAACGCTCCCGGCGCAGGGAGGGGAGCGGGGCTGGAGCCCCAGTATCGCAGGGAACCAAGGGGGATGCTCCAGCCACCAAATCTGAGGGACTGGAGGCCACACAGCCCCTGAGGGGCTCCGGTGGAAGGCACAGGGAGGGTCAAACCCTCCCACTGACAGCCGAGGGCAGGGGCTGACACTCAGCTTGTGACAGCAGGGAGCTCAGCCCAGGGCAGAGCCAGGGGGAAAAGCCACCACTGCCCATGGGCACGGGGCTGGGATGAGCCGGGGAGAGCCCCGGGCAGCCCCACACCTGCAGGGGGGTTAAAAGCAGGTGTGGGTGTGCCAAAGCAGCCCCCAGCCCTCTGGCACCCGCCCCCACCCCGCCCAGAGATAGGTTTGTATACACACAGCTGGTTCCCGTGAGGATGGTGATGGAGGTGACAGCAATGATGCAGAACATGTATACGTATACAATACAAGTATATGCTTTGGTATTGACGGTTAAAGAGAGTTTTAAGCCTAGAATGAAAAAATTCAGACCTTGGCTTCCTATCATACCCATGCAGCCGGCTTATCTGGGGCTCATCCAAATCCACCTTAAACAGTAGGAAGTGGGTTCTTACTAGAGACAGCTCATCACCCTCGGGGGCCGGGGGGCCCCCCGTGACCGGGGCGGTGGGTTTGGGGGAAGGGGCAGGTGAGGTGGTGGCAGGGCTGAGCGTGTCCCCCTCTTCCATAGTTCTGAAGGCAGCCAGGCCCATGTCATCTCCCTGAATACCATCCAGAGTCTCGGTCAGGGCTGCCAGCAGCGCTTCGTTCTCGCTGTCTATTATCTGAAAGGAGCAGCAGAGAAGAAGAGCAGGGGTTAGGCTGGGCACAGGGTCCCCGGGATGCTGGATGGGGGACAGGGACCAGCAGAGCCACACCAGCACCCACACTGCCCAGTGACCCCAGTGTGAGACCTGGAATAGCAGTGTCAGTCTGTCCCCCTGCAGCCCAGCAGGAAAAGAACGAACCAGAGCATCTTCTCTGCCCACAGCCCCTCCACCCCACCATGAGGCAAACAGCAGCAGATGAAGGATCTGTCAGGAAAAGGCTCCTGGCCCAAATCCTCCTGACTCTGCAAGTGCAGGAGCTGTGAGCTCAGCCAGGGCTGCCCAGTGGACAAGAGGGCACAGCCTCCCTGGAGGGCACAGGGGGAGCTCTGCCCAGGCTGCACCACTGGCCTGATGCCACAGCTTGTGACATCACTCCCAAATCTCCATCGGCACCCCCAGACCATGCTGTTCACCCAAAAACTGCGTCAGGGGAGCTGCAGTGCAAGGCCCATCACACCCTGGGCCAGGCAGGACCAAGGGCTGCTCCTGCCTCCTCCCTGCCCACTGCTCCAGCTTTGGCTTTGCTGATGCACCTCTAGCCTTCCCAGTGCCCTCCCAGTCCCACCCAGCCCCACGAGCTCCTTCCAGTCTGGCAATACAGCGCTGAAGCCCAGGAGAGGATGCAAAGCTGAGGAATGGCTGGAGTGAGCCAGCAGCTCCTTCTTTTTGGTCCTCCTCCATCACAATCTGAATGTAAACCATGTTCAGGGAGAGGCAGGCTACCATCAGGGATAAAATTAGCACGGGGGTAAAGTGAGGCTCAGAGGCAGGACTGCTGCCTGCACACAGCCTCCTGTGCTTCTCTCCTCTTGTTTGAAAATTAAACATCTTTTGTTCCATGCCCTAACCTTGCTCGCAGTTACTAGAGCAGGCTCCAGGGAAAGGCAGCAGGATGCTCCATTTTTGGCTCAGTTTCTTTTCCTCCTGTTATTGGCACGAGATTGCTGTGCATACAAGTTCAGTGGGATACATTTCATCATACTCCACTGCTCCTCATCGGCCTGGCTTTCGCATTTCTTTTCTGTTTATCTTTTCCCCAGGAAGTTCACGGAAAATATGCATCTCGTGATGAAGGTCCCTCAGCTGGACTGGACCATTTTCAAGCACAGCATCAGCCCAGCACAAAAGCCAGAGGGTTGTTATTTCATGGGCAGGTTAGAAAATATTGAGCCTTTTTTTTCATCTCCTTGTTTAAATAGAAATCTTCCTCCTCCCAAAATGTGACCCAGGGTTGGTGATTAGCTGGTACCAGGGGGTCACAACCTCCTTGTGCAAGGGGGTAAAGGTCAGGAGGGCACAGAGACCCCAGCCCCAAGGACAGGCACGTGCAGGGCATGGCACGAGCTTGGGCAGGGTGAGGGGCTGCCCAGCCTGCTCTGTGCCCAGTCCCCTCTGCATCTCCCTGCTTCCAGCCCAGCTGTGCTGTCAGACAGCCCTGCCCTGTCCTCACAGCTCCAGGAGATGGGACAGGAGCAGAGGGACATGGAGCAGTCCTGCCTGTGACAGGAGCATCCCCTGCCCCAGAGCATCCCCTGCCCCAGGAACATCCCTGCCCCAGGAGCATCCCCTGTGCCCAGGAGCATCCTCTGTGCCCAGGAGCATCCCCTGCCCCAAGAGCATCCCCTGCCCCAGGAACATCCCTGCCCCAGGAGCATCCCCTGTGCCCAGGAGCATCCCCTGCCCCAAGAGCATCCCCTGCCCCAGGAACATCCCTGCCCCAGGAGCATCCCCTGCCCCAAGAGCATCCCCTGCCCCAGGAGCATCCTCTGTGCCCAGGAGCATCCCCTGCCCCAGGAGCATCTCCTGCCCCAGGAACATCCCTGCCCCAGGAGCATCTCCTGCCCCAGGAACATCCCCTGCCCCAGAGCATCCCCTGTCCCAGCTCTGCACCGTGCTGGCACAGCCACTGATCCATCCCAACCCAGAGCAAGGAGAGCAACACAGGGACCCCAGGGACAGAGGGGCTGCCAGAGCTGGGAGAACAGGGTGAAGGGGCTGGATCCTAAAGGAACAGGGTGAAGGGGCTGGATCCCAAAGGAACAGGGTGAAGGGGCTGCTCCCAGCTCCTGGGAAGGAACTTTCCAGTGCTGAGACCCCCGCACTGCCGCCCTGGCATTCCAGGAATGGAGCAGGACACGCTGCACCCCGGCTGCGATTCCAGTGAATAATCCAGCACAGGAGGGCTGCCTCAGCAGCCTCCTCCTCCTCCTCCTCATTAGCCTTACTCCGCTTGCCCCATTTCGAGCTGGTGCACAAATTAATGGAGCACTAATCAGCTGGGGAGGAGATATTAATAGTCCTGTGTGTTCCCTTCTCCCAGCCTCCCTTTCCCTGTGCCTCCATCCTGGGGTACCTGGAGAGCTCTGTGCTCCCTTCTCCCAGCCTCCCTCTCCTCCTGTCTCCATCCTGGGGTACCTGGAGAGCTCTGTGCTCCCTTCTCCCAGCCTTCTTCTCCTCCTGTCTCCATCCTGGGGTACCTGGAGAGCTCTGTGCTCCCTTCTCCCAGCCTCCCTCTCCTCCTGTCTCCATCCTGGGGTACCTGGAGAGCTCTGTGCTCCCTGCTCCCGGGCTCCCTGTGCCCCTGCCTGCACCCAGGGGGGATGGATGGGGTACCTGGAAGAGCTCGGAGTCGTCGGTGCTGTACTGGCTGGAGTCGGTCTCCGAGTGCTCCCTGTCCCAGTGCAGCTCGCTGAAGCAGCCAGCAGAGTCCAGGTCGCCAGCGTCCAGCTGGGACAGATCGATCTCGGGGAAGTCAGAGTAGAGGTGCTCCTCTCCAGACACCTCATACTGCACACAGGAGAGCAGAGAAACAACTGAGACCAGGGGAGCAGGCACTGAGGACAGCAGCATCCTCCCTGCCACCCAGTGATCCACCCCAGTGCTCCCAGCCCCTCTTCCCATGTAACTCCAGGCACTGGCAGGGTGTGCTGGGCACCTTTTCACCCACTCAGCCTGGCACTGGTCACTGGAGCAGCCCCACAGCTCCCCCACACCCCTGCTGGTGTCCCAGCTGTGGCACAGCTGGAGCTGCTCGGGGAGAGCCTCATCCCTTCCCAGTGAGCAGATGGTCCGGGCACAGCACAGCCACTGCACAGCCATGGCAGGGGCAGTTCCTGCCCTTGGTGCCCTAAAAGTGACATCCAGTGGTGGCCTGGGACAGCAGCACACAGGGCCAGCCCCACACCTGCTGCTCACCCTGTCCCACCACATGGCCCTGGAGCACTCAGGATCCCAAAGCACCACCCAGGCCACCAGAGCTGCTCCCTGCTCCCTGCAGGGTGAGGACAGCCTGGAAATGAATGGATGTCTGAGAGCACTCGGGGTGATGTGAGCTAAAAATCTCCATTTAACCACAGAAAGGAGCTGGCACCTGCCCCACTTGGGCTCCAGCCACGAAACCCCAGAGCGGGCTGGGGCTGGCACCAGCACCCAGTGCCTGCCCTGGCACCTGCACCGTGCCTGGTTCTGCCTCGGTGTCAGGGTAAAACACAGGGAAAGGTCTGGAGAGGCTCCTCCCAGCACTGCCTGCCCAAGGGGAGGCTTCTGGCAGCGAGGGACGCAAGTTTATTTACAGAGCAAATGGATTTTGGAGCAGGCAAACATCTGAGCATGTGAGAGAGGCTGCGGGGGAGCGTGGGGGCCCCTCCTCCTGGAGCACCCTGGAAGGCTCTGCTCCATCCCTCAGTGGGAAGGAAAGGGGATTTCAAACCCAGCTGCAGGAAGGGAAAAGACAGCTTTTCTCTCTCTCTCTTCTCGTTTTTTGTTTTTCAAATTGGGATAATCTGGGATTACTGGCTGTGTTCCCCCAGGCTGAGGAGCCTGTCTGCCACGCTCCCCACCACATGCAGGACACTCCAAAGGACACTCCCCTGCACACACTCCCTCCCTTCCTGCATCTCCCACCTGCTTCCCAGCCTGCCCCATCCCCGGGGAGGTGGGAAACAGGGAGGGCACCTCGGTGGGCACAGCAAGGGCAGGAGAGTGGTTTTATGGCCTGAAGGTGAGCAGTGCCAGGCCTCATGCCCCAGCCATGCCCAGGGGCTGCAGTGGATGCAGGAGCTGCAGTGGATGCAGGAGCTGCAGTGGATGCAGGGGCTGCAGTGGATGCAGGGAGGGGCTGCAGTGGATGCAGGAGCTGCAGTGGATGCAGGGGCTGCAGTGGATGCTGGAGCTGCAGTGGATGCTGGAGCTGCAGTGGATGCAGGGGCTGCAGTGGATGCAGGAGCTGCAGTGGATGCAGGGGCTGCAGTGGATGCTGGAGCTGCAGTGGATGCAGGGGCTGCAGTGGATGCAGGGAGGGGCTGCAGTGGATGCAGGGGCTGCAGTGGATGCAGGGAGGGGCTGCAGTGGATGCAGGAGCTGCAGTGGATGCAGGGGCTGCAGTGGATGCAGGGAGCAGCTGGGGCTGCCCCACACAAAGCTCTGGGGGATGCTCTCCCAGCACCCTCCCTTCACCTCTTTGCTGCAGGGATGTGCATCAGGTAGATAACACAGATGTGGTGCCACAAAGAGTATCGGGCACCCCTGAGGGCTCTGGGAGCACAAACTCCTCACTGCCTCCCCAGGGATGAGGCTTTTCTAACCTGCCCTGCAAAACCCTCTGTTCCCAGGTGTCAGAGTATGCAGCAGGTCAGGAGTCCCCAGTGGCAGCCCCGGGGGACACAGATGCTGCCTTCCCCCTGCGCTGTCCCTCTGCTCTGGGATCAGGTGTCCTTTGGCCTTTCTGATGTGTCCCTTACCTGCTGTGGCTCGTCCCTGCCTTCCTGTCCCTGCCCTGGTGCCTGCTCCAGAAAAAGTCTTGTGACAACTTTGTCTCCCCCTTCTCCCCAAAGCTTCCCATGGGAACACGGGCACAGGGTTTTATTTTTAGCCAAGCCATACATCCACAGCTATACGTGTGTCTGCGTGCGCGTGTGTGCGCGCAATTAAAAATAGCAGAGCAGCCAAATTCTCCTGCTCCTTTTGATACGCCACAAGGGAAAAGATCCCGGTGCAGAGATCACAAGGAGCAGCTGACACCAGTGCTCGGGATGTCTTTTGATCAACTCCACAGATGTGACACGTCCCCATTGGCAACGGGGCTGGGGAAAAATAAACCCCTGCAATGCCAGGCTGCTGAGCTGCCCTCCCTGGGCACTGGGGGCAGGACTGTCCTGCCACTGTCACTGCCGCTGCCACTGTCACTGCCACTGTCGCTGTCACTGTCACTGCCCTGCCGCTGCCACTGTCACTGCCACTGTCACTGTCACTGCCGCTGTCACTGCCACTGTCACTGTCACTGCCCTGTCACTGCCCTGCCGCTGCCACTGTCACTGCCACTGTCACTGTCACTGCCACTGCCACTGTCACTGCCACTGTCACTGTCACTGTCGCTGCCACTGTCACTGTCGCTGCCACTGCCCTGCCACTGCCACTGCCACTGCCCTGCCACTGCCCTGCCACTGTCACTGCCACTGTCACTGCCACTGCCACTGTCACTGCCACTGTCACTGTCACTGTCACTGCCCTGCCACTGTCACTGCCGCTGCCACTGTCATTTCCACTGCCACTGTCACTGCCCTGCCACTGTCCTGCCACTGCCACTGTCACTGCCACTGTCACTGTCACTGCCCTGCCACTGCCACTGCCACTGCCACTGTCACTGCTGCTGCCACTGTCACTGTCACTGTCGCTGTCACTGCCGCTGCCACTGTCACTGCCACTGTCGCTGTCACTGTCACTGCCCTGCCGCTGCCACTGTCACTGCCACTGTCACTGTCACTGCCGCTGTCACTGCCACTGTCACTGTCACTGCCCTGTCACTGCCCTGCCACTGTCACTACTACTGTCACTGCCACTGCCACTGTCGCTGCCCTGCCACTGCCACTGTCACTGCCCTGCCACTGTCACTGTCACTGCCCTGCCACTGCCACTGCCACTGCTACTGCCACTGCCACTGTCACTGTCACTGCCACTGCCACTGTCACTGTCACTGCCACTGCCACTGCCACTGCCCTGCCACTCCCACTGTCACTGTCACTGCCCTGCCACTGCCACTGCCCTGCCACTGCCACTGTCACTGTCACTGCCACTGTCACTGTCACTGCCACTGCCACTGCCACTGCCACTGCCCTGCCACTCCCACTGTCACTGTCACTGCCCTGCCACTGCCACTGTCACTGCCCTGCCACTGCCCTGCCACTGCCACTGTCACTGTCACTGCCCTGCCACTGTCACTGCCACTGTCACTGCCCTGCCACTGTCACTGTCACTGCCACTGCCACTGCCCTGCCACTGCCACTGTCACTGTCACTGCCACTGTCACTGCCACTGTCACTGCCCTGCCACTGTCACTGTCACTGCCACTGCCACTGTCACTGCCCTGCCACTGCCACTGTCACTGTCACTGCCCTGCCACTGCCACTGCCACTGCCACTGTCACTGTCACTGTCACTTTCACTGTCACTGCCCTGCCACTGCCACTGCCACTGCCACTGTCACTGTCACTGCCCTGCCACTGTCACTGCCCTGCCACTGCCACTGTCACTGTCACTTTCACTGTCACTGCCCTGCCACTGTCACTGTCACTGCCCTGCCACTATCACTGCCACTGTCACTGCCACGCTGGGGATGCTCCAATCCTCCTGCCTCCCACGGGTCAGGAATGCCCAAACCTCAGCTCTGTGTGTGTAGAGCCTCCTCCTCTCCTCCTTGGCAGACATGGGGACAGCCTTTGCTTGCTGGGGTCACCTGGATGGGCACCCCAGCCCCCAGCCAGGCCCCTCTGCTGGGCAGTGTCCCTTTCCCAGCCCAGGCACCAAGGACCTGGCTGCAGAGGGAACCCAGCACTCCCAGCCCGCGGCTGAGCCCCTCTGGGGAAGGGGCAGCCCCTGCCCAACTCGGGGGTGGCAGCAGCGATGGGGACACTGCCCGTGGGCACGGGACCTCATCTGCTCTCACTGTCCCTTTTCCCACCCTCTGCACTTCCTGCTGCCTTGGGAGAGGAGTGAACTTTTGTTCTAATTTTACTCGGGACTTTGTAGGAAGATCAGCCATGGGTTCTTGGTGTGCAGCCAGCAAACACCCATGGAGACATGCTCAGAGCCTGGGAGGCATCCTCCAGCCCAGACACCTGGCTGTGAGCAGCAAGGCTGCCACCAGAGAGCTGTGCCATGCCTGAGCAGCCACCAGAGCTGTGCCATGCCTGAGCAGCCACCAGAGAGCTGTGCCATGCCAGAGCAGCCACCAGAGCTGTGCCATGCCTGAGCAGCCACCAGAGAGCTGTGCCATGCCAGAGCAGCCACCAGAGCTGTGCCATGCCTGAGCAGCCCCTGCTCCAGGGGGGAGAGCTCCTCTGGCTCCTGGGACAGCATCCTCTGACTCCTGGGTCAGCATCCTCTGGCTCCTGACTGCTTTGGGTCAGCATCCTCTGGCTCCTGGCTGCTCTGGGGCTGCAATGTGCTCCCACTGCTGTCCCTCTGCCATGTCCCCAGTCTGTCCTTGCCAGGGCAGTGGCAGCATGAGGAGCTGGCACAGGGTTAGATCCATCTCCCTGCCTCCCCTCAATGCAGGCCACTGTCTCTGGTGGCCCCAGAAGCTCTGGGGACATGTCCTGGGCTGGAGCCACGTCCCAGGATGTCCCAGCTCAGTGCTGGCTCTGCCACCCTGGGGACAGCAGGTGGGACATGTCCCTTTCAGTCCTGTTTGGAGCAGTGTGAACTCTGGCACGTGAGGTTTTATCTCTGAGGACACACGAGACTCCTCCCCGAGCCCAGCTCTAATTCAAACACTGGATTAAGGAGACAGGA